TATAAATAATTCTAAATGATCTTAACTAGGTAGAAGTGTATGTAGTTGCTTTTAAGTCATTTTAAATACATTTGTTTTAAGACTGTGCAAAGATTGGAAGTGGGTTTGCATTTCTAAAATGGTGACTTTTATTCAGCAAGAGTTCTTAGTAACTTCTTGAGTGTGGTAGATTTTGGAACATGTAAATTTTTTGCCTGTAATGTTATCCTGTGGTAGGATTTTGGCAGACAAATGCTGCCCTATTTTATTTTGAGTCTAAGTTAAATGTTTTCTGAAAACAGAAATGTGCACTGAACTCTCCACTGCAAGTCAAGATGTGGTAAAACCGAAAGAAAGTTCAAGACAATGAAATGGAATACTACTGTCGATTTCATGTCCACTGTGTTTTATACAGTATCTTTTTTGTTCACTTTGGAAATTTTTACTAAAAATGCAAAAAATAAAGTATTGTGCGAAGATATGTAAGGTTTTTTGAAACTTGAAATGCATTAATAAATAGACTTGATGAAATCACCTTCTGAACATCCATTTACTTTTTGAACCCTGAAAGCAAAAAGGAATATACAGATTCTACTTCTACTTAATTTTTGGCTTTTGCTGCAAGGGAGCTGTCATGCCAAAAAGTAATTGTACTATCTTAATACTGTCAAAGTGCACCTCCCAATTTTAGCATCATGCAGTTAAATGTGAGAGTGAATATTTTTGTGTAGCCATTTTAAGGAAAAGCCCCCATGTCACCTTTAAATTACTTGTATGGTTACAGGAATAAAGCTTACTGTTCTTAGCTTCAAAACGGAGGCTAGTTACTGGTGGGGTGTTCAAGCCTGGCACAATAGCTGCTGAATGATACATTCTGATAAATTTCATTTTGAAGCAGGATATTGGAATTAACATGTCATACTCTGAATGCACAACTCATGGATTGGACTTTTAGAAGGAGCAAATTTGCTTTTTGCAAGGTGTTTTAAAACTGCTAGGCTGTGTCTCTGTATTTTCCTGTGTGTTGCATAGTTGATTTAAGCGATAAGTGCTTTTGAAAGCCAAGTCCTGCCAGCTAGTCTTTCGTTCTTAGGGCTGTTTATTGAGAATGGTCTGCTTAGACATCTGTTTCCCTAACTGAGCAGCATGTGCTTTGATGTAATCAAAGCATACTCAGAGCTCCTTCCTTATCCTTGTAGCTAAATAACATTGTCAGGGCAAAAGGTATTAAAAGAAAATCAGTTGGAGCAGAGCTCTTCTGCAAATCACAGTCATAGGTGCGTAATAGATTTTTGGTGGGGGTTGCATTTAAATTTCTGCCTAGGGGTGCAAACCAGAGGGATAGAAATAAGCCTCTAAAATATAAATTTTGTGTATATTTTAAAATGTGTTTGAGGGAAAACAAATGAGTATATAAATAGCTGTATTTTTTCTAACATATTTGACCAATAATCAGTAATTGTAGCTATTCATTTATTCCTCTTGATTTCTTAATGTTTTAGTCATTAGTATACCTTTGCCTCTGGTGTAGAAGCATGCGCAGTCAGAAGGGTGTGAATGTGAGAAGGGCATCAAACTCCTCTTCAGCTAGGAAGCTTTATTCATACCACACAGACTACAAATCAATGATACAGTTTGCCTTTTAATTAAATGTTCCCATATTTCTTTCAGGAAAAACACACAAGAAGGAAGGAAGATGTTTTTACTTCTGAATACTGGAGGTTTGTTCTTACGGAGAGGTGATTAAAAGGACAGCAATTGCTACATCATGCTAAACTGTGCATGCTCTGGCAGGATTGGGTTCCTGATGGCTCTCAAGGTCTCGATTCAGTTGTCTGGACTGAGGCAGGAATAATTCTGATGAGCACAGAGTAAGGCATCGCTGTTGGCACTTGCACTTGTAGATATGGCGTCAGTATTGCGTTCAGGCATTGTAAGGCTTTGAGGATGCTGCAACTTGGGCTTTATTTTATTTTTGTATCAGAAATTAGTGTAATGGCTGTCAAAACACAGGGACAGGATTTATCTGGGCATAAGATTTGTGAAAAATGACATCAGCATAAATATCTTCATATCTGCAAGGATTCAAATACTGAATGTTGTTTTAATTTTCCTATTTGACTTTTAAAAAGTGTACAGATTATCTTACCTGAGGGTATACTGGCTTGTTTCAGTTGAACTGGAGAATGTTTTGTTTTTTTTCCCTCAAACTTTAGAAGTCCTCAAACTCCAGTATCCCTGTTACTTGAGTTTCAGGACACTGTAGACATCTCTGACCTTTTATCCACCTGCTTTTCCTGAACTAACGATTTCAAGCGTGTTTCCCCTGAAGTTTAGATCCCTTTATTGGCCTTCTTGCCAAGTAAGTGATAGTAACTTGAAAGAGGTGCCAATTTTAATGTCCAAGACATTCGTAAGTGTGTTAGGATGTATAACTACAGGGAAACCATGACTTTGAAAGACTCCATGAATATGTTAGGTTTTACATCATACAAATCGCATTAAAAGCTATCTCGCCAACTCTCTAGTGCTTTGGTTTTTCAGGTATAGCAAAACACTAACATTGCAGTTTCTGCACTGGAGAAACAGCACAGTCCAGCTCTTTCTGGCCTTTGTCTCTTGCTCTGTCATCCTTGAATTTCTGAACAGAGCCTCTTTTGAGGAGTGGGGGTAGGATTTGGTTCAGGAAGCTTACAAAGTTCGTAGCTTAGAAAGCTGGTGATAACCGATGATGTAGATGCAATTCCGATGACAGTATTTCAATTCTTCTACAAATAGACAGCAATTTAAAAAAAAAAAACAGCCCTGAACATGAGGAGTAAGATTTTAGCTTTTTCCAGAAGCAAAAATTGGATTCTAGAGACATTCTAGGGAGATGCGTAATTTGAGTCAGCCACACACTTTTGTCATTGTGCTTTGGAAAACTAAAATGGCCACACTGTCATTTGTTCCTTGTCTGCCATTCTTCAGGACACAGTCCGTTTTAACTTGATGCCCCTAAAAATGCTCTCACTGGGTCTCTAGCAATTGATTCTCTCCAGTGGATTATAGCTACTACAAATGTAAAAAACCCCCAACCATAATCTAAAAAGGTCTGCTGCTTACCTACCTCTTTCAGGGATACTTGTTGCTGAAATTTCCCTCTTCTGTATGTGCTCCTGATTTGACTTTCGGCTGTTGTATTTAGATGAATTATTGTAATATGTTCTGTGCTTACATAAAAGAGCTTTAATGAAATTAGAATGTTAGGAAATTTAAGTACTGGGAAACCTGAAGCATGGAATTACTCACTTAAATTGCAATTTTTGACATAGAAGGTGGAAATACTGTTCATGTTTGAAGAAAATAATCTGCTTTGTTGAGCAAAGTCTTTTAAAGCACAAACTTTGGTTTTCAGTGAAGATTTTAAGATTCTTTTATATGGAGTTTGTATCTAAATCTATAAATATTTGTCCTAATCAAGGTGCTACTCCTAGTGGTCATTTTAAATGTCGGATCAGCTTCTGCAACTTACACCTGAGGAATGACAACCATTTTTGTTTGAAAAATGTGTGTGCTTCAGTACCCATCACATTTAGGCTGCCTTTCTGTTTCTGTACTGAATATTCCTGTTTGTTTAAATGAATGATAGTTACTGAAAACAGCTTTTAAAAGTCAGAAGTTAAGATTCTGAATGGTCAGCAAAGATGACTGCATTCAACATTTGATCACTGTTCGTTGCTTGCAGAATTTCTAGTTCTGCTCAGCTTGTTCATTTGTCATGCTTTTGAAATGAATCTCAATCCTAGTAACATCTGTATATTTTGATTCAAAATTCCCTGCAATATCTTGGTGTGGGAAATATGCTTTTCTCCAAGTCTAAAGGCTGTCTTACACTTTTTTTTTTCTATTTGCAGAACATTTAAGACTAATTACATTCAGAATACAGAGTTGTAGAAACATAATTTTTTAATGAATCTTGTTCTTACCATTACAAAGTGGTGAATGAAATACTATGATATACATATTGATTTCTATTTCAGTATGTACTAAGCATAAAATAAAAATAATCTGAGACAATAAGGTTTCTTTATGTAGTTTATATTCTGACATAGGAAACAAGGGAATTGTATATGTTTGAATTTCTAAAGTTTGTTTATATGCACCAAAGATGTTTGAAAGTTACCATTTTGATTTATTCATGCAGTTTCAAATCATGCTAAAATTTGCTATACAGTGATTTGAAAATCTAAAAATCTCAGGCGTTACGTGAACAGGTAAATATTTTAATGCAGAAGTTAACTGAACTTAGTTGTGCTAGAATTGTGTGTAGTATACTAAACATCATTAAAATAATTAAATTACTAGTCATTTAAATCACGAATTAAAATAGTTAAGCAGCAAAGCATTTTCCAATAGGACAAAGTTTATGGCATTTTTAGATGACAGTTATTTGGCTTGTCATATGGTAATGACAGTTAGCTCAAGCATTCTGTTTGAGATGTTTTTTAGTTTTTGAATGCTATAAAGTAGAAAGTTCAAACTCTTTGTGAACAATGTTATCTATTTGGGAATATTTTCTTCTGTGAATTACTTAACTCCCCCTTCATTAGAAATAATTTAGGAAAGGTTTAAGTGATAGTCACTACAAGTGTTTTGAAGTATTTAATGGGAAATGAGGCTCCTTTTTTCCCTTAAATCCAACAAAAGGAAGTTTTTCAAAGGCTTATAGCAATGATTCTTTCAGATACTAATCTTTTTATTTCTAGTGAGCAGGAGTTTTTTAAACTTTAAACAATTTAAAATTGGCAGTTGCTGTTGATGAAATTGCTCATTGATCCCTTCGAGAGTAGGCTCATAAATGAAAAAAGCACATACTTCAGCTTTCCGTTGCACTGCAAAATCTGAATTCTTTTAATGTATTTTCTTCACCATCCGTGAAACTACCAGGATTTTTAATTTAATGCAACTGTGTATTTTTAAAACATTTTACTAGATGTGTAGTATTTTGAATATATTTTGGTGAGTAGTTGTTTTGTATGTTCTTACTCATTTTCTGTTTTGTCTCCGAAAGCGATCTTCACACCTCACAAATGTTTTCTCTTGGGCTGGATGAAGGTGAAGGTTGTCAATGCTTTGAGAACAAAATGTCATTCTAGAAAGAAAACACAGCATGTAAGCATAATGGTACTTTTTAGGGCTACTTTCTGTATAAGAATGTGCTTTCACTGAATCTATCTTGTCTTTTACAGGAAGATGTCTGATTGTTTGTATAGGCTTGTGAGGAAAGAGATGTATCTGGCTGCCAGACAGCAGATACAGAGTAAAAGGAGTAGGCAACTCCGGTGCATAGCGTGCGTTGTGCCCCCGTCTCTTTGTGGCATCATAAACAGCATGCTGTTCTCCATAGTATAACCTCAGAGTGATGTCGTCTTTGTATTCTCAGTGGCCATTGTCATTGTTTCAACTCTTACTGTTACTACCAGATTTTACTATTTGGCCTCCTAGTACTTAGTTGGACTACTAGTATTTAGTTGTGAGGTTGCTAAAAATCAGTTATGTAGGATGCTAACAACATCAGCAACTACATATGCTACAGAAATGTTTTCCATATTTGGAACTCAAATATGTTGGTATCCAGTATTGCTCTTAATAGTCTATTTACTAACTAGTTCTAAAGTTTATGCTGTTTTGTAGTGTCTAAGTGTTTTTCATTAGATAATCTAGCAAAGGAAAATTTATCATGTATATAAATATCACAAACATTATGAGGTAAAGATACATGGAGATAAAATCATAGAATCATAGAATGCTTTGGGTTGGAAGGGACCTCTAGAGGTCATCTAGCCCAGCCCCCCAAAATATTGTTGCCAGTTTGTTCAAATGCTCAAGAAAGTGCAAGACAAGTCAAAACACATCTTGTGTTTACTACCTGTTTTTAATACTGAATTTTCAAAGTTGCTAATTCTTAGATCCATGATGTTTGGTCTTTCCAAGAAGACCAAAATCTACACATTCTCTTCTTTGAAGAAAATACTTTTCCTGGAGTGTCCTTTGTTCCTCCTTTGAGAATCGTCTAATAATCTTTCATTCCCCCCTCAAGCATTAAAACAGTATTTCAACAGTAGCATGTCATTTCCATTCCCATGACAAGCCGGGACTGCACAGAAAAAAATCCCAGCACTTAATCAGTATCCATTAAAATCTTGACACAAACTCCCACTTTGCTTGTAACACAAAATCTTCTAAGGAGCGTTAGGTAACTGAAGATACCAGCATCATTTTTTGTTGGTATAATAACTACCCATCTCAGTTACCCGTTTCCTAGGATTTCATTAGTACGTCAACAGTAATTGGCTTGTGCCAGGTTGACACAGTTATTGACACACCTGTATTGTGCAGGACCTTTCTGGTTAGAAAAATGAGTATGTCTGATGTAATCCTTTGACAGCCTGTACACATTTTTCCTGAGGTACAAAAATCTGTATTTAAACAGAGCTCTCTAATTTGCGAGGTATACTATGTTTTAATTTGCTTTGACAGCTAGGTGAGTACTGATTTGAGATCATTGCTTTTAAAACAGCAGGAGATGTTATAGAAATGATTTTTTTTTTTTTTTTTTTTTAATGGAAGAAGCAAGTGCTGAGTACAGTGTTAGGAGAAGAAAATACCTACAAAATACATTTTCAGGGGGACAAAGCCCAAGAAAATATGATCCCTCCTCTGCCCTCCAGCACACACAGATCGTGTTATGAATATGTCTCTAAATTGTCTAATTTGTCTTTTGTGTATCAAGGAGATGCAGCTCTGCCAGTAAGTATTGTTCAACAGAAAGTCTGCAGTGGTTATAACTGGTGCTGCTAAAAAAGAGACTGTGGCAAGAAAAACACCTTCCAAGACTGAACCACAGTTACAAGGTAAGACATGCTTTTCTCATTAACCTTAATTAAACTGCTCAGTTAAAATTTCTCAAAGGATTGAAGCAGTGGGAATTATTACAAGCTTTGTTATTCTGTCTTCTGGCTGAAATTTCTCTTTGTGAATAAGCAGTTTCAAAAGTGTTATTAGCATTGCTGTATGTACAGAACAAGGACACTCAGACTTGGTGATCCAGTTTTGAAGCAGTCAGCAGCGGGAAAAGAAAAAAAGGAACACGCACCCACCCACCCTCCCCTCCAAAAAAACCCTAAACAAACAAGCAAACAAAATAAAAAAAAAAAACCCACAGATTTCAGTTTCCATTCAAATTTTTTGTTTTTACTCCAGAAAACTGCTCTCTAATGCTACTTCAGAGTTCAGCTGACAAAATTCACATCACTGAATTTATACTGTAGAAAAAGCGCAACCAGACTGCAAAAATTACTGTCAAATACAAGTGAAAGTGTGGTACGTAGAAGTGTAGTCTTGTTGTTTTCCAGGACTGCTCACATTCTGTTTGACCACTAATTGTGCCCATTACACAAATGTCAAAATGTCTGTAGTTGAAACTTCTACAGTTTGTCACTCCAGGAACCTCTTATACAGCCCAAACAGTGTAGTAATTCATCATCAACTATCAGACACTGGACTGGCTCTTGAATGAGACAAAAGGCAGGTCTTGCTTGACCAACCTGATCTCCTCCTATGACCAGGTGACCTGCCTAGTGGATGAAGGTAAGGCTGTGGATGTCATCTACCTGGACTTCAGTAAGACCTTTGACACTGTTTCACACAGCATCCTTCTGGAGAAACTAGCTGCCCATGGTTTGGATGGGTGTACTCTTCACTGGATAAAGAACTGGCTGAATGGCCGAGTGCAGCAAGTAGTAGTGAATGGAGGTAAATCCAGCTGGCAGCTGGTCACGAGTGGTGTTCCCCAGGGCTCAGTTTTGGGTCCAGCCTTGTTTAATATCTTTGTCAATGCTCTGGATGAGGGGATTGAGTGCTCCCTCAGTAAGTTTGCAGATGACACCAAGTTGGGCAGGAGTGTTGATCTGCTTGAGGGTAAGAAGGCTCTGCAGAGGGATCTGGACAGACTGGATCAATGGGCCGAGGCCGACTGGATGAGGTTCAACAAGGCCAAATGCCAGGTCCTGCACTTGGGTCACAACAACCCCATGCAACGCCACAGGCTTGGGGGGGAGTGGCTGGAAATGTGCCCAGTGGAAAAAGGACCTGGGGGTGCTGGTCGACAGCCAGCTGATGATGAGCCAGCAGTGTGCCCAGGTGGCCAAGAAGGCCAATGTCATGCTGGCTTGTGTCAGGAATACTGTGGCCAGCAGGAGTAGGGAGGTGATCGTGCCCCTGTACTCAGCACTGGTGAGGCCACACCTGGA